GAAAGTGATAGATATGTAACAGTAGCAATACCTGCGAGATTGAGAAATTGAGTTATTGTCGAGAATGATTATTATAATTAGTAGACTTTCTGAGAATGTAATTTGAAAATATTATTAGAAGCACATTATAGTTTGAACATCTTTTGTACATTCTATTGTTTCTAATACATGTGAAATTATAGTACCTGTGATTTCTGTACCTATTATTTCTATACCTGTGAAATAATATTATTAGTTATGGTTGAGAATGATAATTATTGTAATTAGTAGGCTGTGGATTTTTTGAAAATATAATTTGACTATTAAAAGCACTATATTTTGTATGTCCCATTCTATTTCTCTAATATCAAGTAAGTATACTTTTTTTCTTATTATTATATAAATATATTTTTCTCGTTATTATTCTTCATATATTTTTCATCATTATATTCGTGATTTATGTTATATTTTCTTTATATCTTATATTTTCAAATCTCCTGTAAATGCATAAAAATTGATAAATTAATAACTTATAATAGACTCATAACTGGGATATTTATGCAAAATATTTTCCAGGAAATAATCAACGGAGTAGAATTTAGATGGATCTAGATGTATACATAGTTACAAGAGATTCATCGCAAATACATCTATATTTGCTAAAAAAAAAAAGAAAAAAAATGATATACAGCTACCTTAAGCGTGTAACAAGTGTAAAACGATTCAATTGAATATTGATATATTATATGATTTATGACTCTCCAAATATTCTTCTGATCCCTGAGAAATACCTTCTATAGTAATCTTTAATTAATTAACTTCTAGATTTTTTTCATATTCTACCAAATAATCTTGAAATAATCGAGTCTTATTCTAGTGTGATTTCACTTGATACAAGTTTTATCTTTCAGTCATTGACAATTCTACTGTTAAATAGCTCACTCTGTATGTATCTGATATCAAGCGATTGATAAGTGATAGCAATTAGTAAAAGAGCCACTCCCTCGACGCGACGATAACAAGATCGAGTGTATACATATATGTACACAATGTGGAATCTAATAGGGTATGTTATTTGTTCATGACACACCCACTTAATTCGTGTATCACGAATATGCGAATATACGAACATATAAACATATTACATCTATATTAAACAGATAATATGGACATACATCTATATTAAGCAACAATATACAGATTTATCTTATTTAGAAATGAATTAAATTTTGAACTTTCTTATTGCTTTTAAATATTTTTTAAATACAGTTATCCTTTTTCTTCTTATTATTATTATTGTTTACATAATAATAGTTGAGAAATTTTGTACACGTAAAAATAAAATTATCGTCGATAAAAATGATCCTTTTTAATTTTGTGTTATATATAATTAATAATGAAATAATGTAAATTTTCAATGGTGTAATTGATGGAACACAATAGTAAAACAGACAAAATAATAATTCAATTAATTATTCACGTTAACGAAATTAATTAAATAAAATTAAATTTATGTATCAGTGTATAAATTTGAATGCCTATGTATATATGTTATATATGTTTTGATAAATAAATTCAAAACTTATTTTGCATACTTTATACACTATTTTACTTTATTTTACTTTTACTTTTATTCTATCAAAAATTATCTTCTAAGACTAAATAATTTTAATAAACAAATGGTTATATAATTTTCCAATGAACTGTCAAGACTGGTCAAATATACAATAGTAAATTATTTAACTATGGATTATAAAATATCTAGTAGGTTCCTTTAATCTGTTAACTTGTAGATAAAATTAAGAAGTGAGAAGTATATTCGTCACAAAATAAGTGAATGAAATTCAATTCAATTTTAACATTATCACAACATTATTTTGAAGGAGATCAATAATTTTATTGCTCAAATTCAGTTATTCTAAAAATTTAGAAATTAATCATTGACAAAATTATTATAAATATCATTTAAAATTAAATTATGAAATTATTATTAAATAATATATTGATCATTACTTAATATCATTGACAAAATCTAAAAATTAATCGTTTCTTTATTAAAAAAAGAAATAAATTAGCCTTGTTCCTATTCTTGTTTTACAAATAAAAAGTATTCTCAAACTGTTATGCGACTACTGAATAACTAATTAAACATTCTAAATATTTTACCTCAAAATAAATTTTAGGAAATTACGATTTTATATATCTAGAAGTTCTATAATGTTAACAATTTATTATATTCGATTTTCCTCCTCCAAGTGAGTTTCGTCAGTTTCTTATTTTATTCAATGATTATACATTTTCATTTAATGATCTCAAAATATCTGAAACCTACGAAAATTCCATTCAAACAGTAGAAAATAACATGTTTTCTTCGTATAACGAGTATAGACTCGTGTAGCACAATTAATCGGTTAAACATTCCAAATATTATAGTCACGATTTCCAGCAGTTGTTTCTGTAAATCGAAACTCTTGCGTTTCTTCTTAGATGAAATTAACAACGTACTTCGTGTAAATAAGCTTGTTCCATTTCGAGCCTCCCTTGCTTCCATCCGCGTGTAATTATTTATTTATTTCTTCCTCCCGTTCGTCCATCGTCTGATCCCTTTTTTATTTGAAGCATTGAAAAAAATGCAACGAAGGTTCCTTTTTTTTTTTTTTTTTTTTTTTTT